TAGTTTAAGTTTTGTTGAACATATGGAGCAACTCACTGTGTTCAGGAGGACGTCTCACTTGGAGGATTAGAAACTTGATCATCTGGGTTCAGAGGCATTAAGACGTTTGGATCTTTTCCAGCTGTGAGGTCAGAAACACATCATGAGACCATCCTCCTCTGAACAGACACTTTTATTACAAACAACCAACACTGCAGGGAACAGTCCTGAAAACTCTCTTCAGCACAAAATGACATCACCATTTAAATACTTTAACTGTAGAAAACTAAAATCCAAAAGGAAAACAATTGTTCAAATTGATGTAAACACTGTTTCTAATGGAAGAGATTCAATTAAATTAAGAGCAATATTTCCTTCAAATCAGTAATTTAACCAAATAAACTGTGGCACATTAATTTGGTCACATAATTTTTCCTCCATCAACCAGATTCTCTAACTATTCGTACAAATCTGTTCTTTTTCATTTCATTCAATGTTTGTTTTTTTCATTTTGGTTATGAACTTCCTCTTCTGTCGTTTTTAGGCGTCCTCTTCCTGCTGCTCTTCAAACTCGCCCTCCTCCTCGGCTGTGGCGTCCTGGTACTGCTGGTACTCGGACACCAGGTCATTCATGTTGCTCTCCGCCTCTGTGAACTCCATCTCGTCCATGCCCTCGCCGGTGTACCAGTGGAGGAAGGCCTTGCGGCGGAACATGGCGGTGAACTGCTCAGAGATGCGCTTAAACAGCTCCTGGATGGCCGTGCTGTTGCCAATGAAGGTGACGGCCATCTTGAGGCCGCGCGGCGGGATGTCGCAGACGGCCGTCTTGACGTTGTTGGGGATCCACTCCACAAAGTAGCTGCTGTTCTTGTTTTGGACGTTCAGCATCTGCTCATCCACCTCCTTCATGGACATGCGGCCACGGAACACGGCAGCCACCGTCAGGTAGCGCCCGTGGCGAGGGTCACAGGCCGCCATCATGTTTTTGGCATCAAACACCTGCTGAGTTAGCTCGGGCACCGTCAGGGCGCGGTACTGCTGGCTCCCTCGGCTGGTCAGAGGGGCAAAGCCAGGCATGAAGAAGTGGAGACGAGGGAAGGGCACCATGTTTACAGCCAGTTTCCTCAGATCTGCGTTAAGCTGCCCGGGGAAACGCAGGCAGGTGGTCACACCGCTCATGGTGGCAGAAACCAGGTGGTTGAGGTCACCGTAAGTGGGCGTGGTGAGCTTGAGAGTACGGAAGCAGATGTCGTACAGGGCCTCGTTGTCAATGCAGTAGGTCTCGTCTGTGTTTTCAACCAGCTGGTGGACAGACAGTGTGGCGTTGTACGGCTCAACCACTGTATCCGACACCTGCAGACAGACAGAGAGGGAACTTGCAGAGGATTATACAGATTATTGGTTGATTTAAGGTTTGGGAGAAATCACTGGATCTGTAGTCAAAGTCTCAAAGCACCAGGTGAAAATAGACAACGCATCAGACAGTATTTGAGTTACCTTGGGAGAGGGCACCACACTGAAGGTGTTCATGATGCGGTCGGGGTACTCCTCTCTGATCTTGCTGATGAGCAGCGTCCCCATGCCGGAGCCGGTGCCTCCGCCCAGGGAGTGCGTGAGCTGGAAGCCCTGCAGACACTCGCAGCTCTCAGCCTCCTTCCTCACCACGTCCAGGACCGAGTCCACCAGCTCCGCCCCCTCTGTGTAGTGACCTTTGGCCCAGTTGTTTCCTGCTCCACTTTGACCTGAGGAAAATAAAACCATCACCAATTCTCTCCTGTCTCTCACTGAAGACGCATGAGACTGTAAACATCTGTCTAATGTTGTTTTCCCATTATGATGATTAATCCGAAACCAAATGGTCACAGTGACTGTTTCACAGCATCTTTCAACCAGTGCCCCTCCACACGACTGCAGATATTATTTAAATGGGTATTCTGCACTGCACGTTTGGTCACGTGAGCCAAACAATTACAAGCAAGAAGTCTGTGTGTTGAAAGAATCTCCACGAAACAAAGACAAACTACTGGAAAGGATCAAATGTAGCTGCTGCCCTTTTATCTGATGAATCAAAGTCATAATTGACAGATTCATATATTATCAATACAGATTTTCGTTGAAGTCCTGAAACGTAGACGTGTGGATGCAGCCACAATTCATCCTTCAACTGGAGCCCAGACCCCGGTGGCAGCAGCTGATCAAACGTACAGAGGTCAAATCTGCAGTTTTACTGTCACACCAACACGTCTCATCTGGAGAAGATGTTAAACTCAACCATGACCTCTGACCTCCTGTGGAGATGAAAGCCACATTAAAGTTTTCTTACCAAAGACAAAGTTGTCAGGTCTGAAGATCTGCCCAAAGGGTCCAGATCGGACTGAGTCCATGGTGCCGGGTTCCAGGTCGACCAGGATGGCTCTGGGCACGTACTTCCCACCTACACACACAAGGAAAACCACAACACATCAGACACTACATGCAACTACACAACTTTGAGAAACAAGTGACACTGAAAATTTCAGGCCTTCTGGTTCTAACACTGACTTTTTGTACTGAAAACTTCAGTTGTTGAAAATAATAAAAGTGTGATGAAAAGAAATGAGCCTCGTGTTTAACAGGATGAAAAACTCTGTAAAGAAGTTTACTGGCTGGTGTGTTAGTGTAGTACCACCACCTTTTACTGAGGCCCACATTTATTTGACTTTACTTTAGTTTTTTAGCTGCTAAATAAAACTCTAGTTACATGGTCAAATGTAAACATTTAAAACCAGGAAATCAGGAGAAGCATCGTGTACTTACCAGTGGCTTCGTTGTAATACACACTGATCCTGTCCAGCTGTAAGTCGCTGTCCCCATGGTACGTTCCCGTTGGGTCGATGCCGTGCTCGTCACTGATCACTTCCCAGAACTACACAAACACACAGGCCAACACATTATGAGTACAGAGGGTGTGTACGTTAACGTTAAAAAATATTCTCCTCATGAACTTAAATTAAAACTGTCATGATGCTTTCCTGTGCTGACGTTTATCTGTGTGGACTCTTTGTCTTTATGGACTTTTACCTTCTTGTTGTCCTTGTGTTTGGTTTTTATTTATTTGGTTTATGTTTTTGTCGGTTCTTTATTTACGTTGTTTATTATCTCCACTCTGATTTCCGTGGACTCTACTTCCTGTCTTTGTCGGGTTTCTCTCCTGCTACGTTCAGACTTTTCTATTCAACTAATAATCCAGGATTTTTTGGCTTTATTTTCTAGATAGTGGGAGGAGGCTTGGTCCATTTTTATTTACACTATGACCTAAACCGATCCAATCTGATGTCTGACAATTCACCGGGATTGAAACCTGTCATTTGCAGCGATCCGTGAAAATACTACTACTTTAAAGAGACATTATCTGTTTGTGCATATGAAGCAAGAACCAGTTTACAGCCGCTCCTCTGAGTGTTTCCCAGGGACACGCTGTCATCTGATCTTAACGAGATCACCCAAACACAACATGTTCTGTCGCACCTCTGTTTCCTCTCCCTGCGCTGTTTTCTAAATATAAACCTTGTGATGAACTGTACTCTCTGCATCTCTGTGGTCATCATGCTGATTAAACGACATGAACAGTTTCTATCATGTTGTGCATGTGTGGTGAAATACTGAACACGAGCATGAAGCGACATCTCAGATCTGTTCTCACTCAAAGAATGTTTGAGACTAAGAAACTGTCACGTTGATACACAAAGAAGAGAATCTCAAAAGTCTGAGATAAGTAAGAGGAGCAAGAGACACAACGACCACAAAGAGACACAACGACCACAAAGAGACACAACGACCACAAAGAGACACAACGACCACAAAGACCCACAACGACCACAAAGAGACACAACGACCACAAAGAGACACAACGACCACAAAGACCCACAACGACCACAAAGAGACACAACGACCACAACACTTGTCAAACATTTTCAAAGTCTCTGAGTCTAGTTTTTGATTCTGAGAAGTAGAAAACTGATTGAACAGTTTAACCAATTGTAAAATCAACACTTGCTCATAAGAGTCGCTGAGTTTCTTAGTTACTGACAGGAATTAAAAATAATATTCAAATTAATTTTTTATAGGACCTGCAGACTCGACGCTCAAAGGGTCAGTGAACGCAGCGCTCTCTCAGAGGACTGTGTCGGCCTCGTTTCTAAAGGATGAGACACTAAAGACAAACTCTGTTAAGACAAGAGCACAGACTGTCACAGCGGCTCAGTCAGCTGCTCCTAATCTGTGCCAACCACTGCATGACTGTGTGTGTGTGTGTGTGTGTGTGTGTGTGTGTGTGTGTGTGTGTGTGTGTGTGTGTGTGTGTGTGTGTGTGTGTGTGTGTGTGTGTGTG